GGTGCGGGGGGGTAGCGGAGTGGGGGTCGCGGTGGGCGGTCTGGGGCGTGGCACAGAGCACCGTTTGGGCCCCGTTTTAAAATGTTTGTTAAATTTATGCCAAGGCTGAAAGTCAGTGACGTCTTCACAGAAGTTCAACCTCTTTTAATGTTCAGTCAAGATTAAAATGGTTTCATCCAGACTGAGAAGATTTCCTGTGGAAGGAAAGGGTTAAACAGGAGTTCATGAGGCTCCGCGTCAGTTCCTCCGTCGTCGGAGCTCAGGTCGGCCCGAGTCGGAACCACTCTTTAAAGTGACTGAAGTGAACAGAGGTATGTGGAACAGTTAGTACAGACACCAGTCCCTGTTGCGCTGCACTGGTCATGACATTTTGAGCACGAACACAGGACTAGAACACAGTCAAAGGTCACGATGGGATTATTCATTACAGCAGAGTTGGGATTAAATGATGGACTAGATTAGATCTTTCACCTGATTCGTTTTCACACTGCAGTATTTTGTATTTCTCCTTTTACTGCAGTAAAACCTCAGTAAAAATACCTTTGTGCAGCTCACACCACATGAAGAAATGAACAGCAGAGGCAACAATAATCTCATTTTGATTTACACAACTACATATTTACACAGAAATCTATCTGATCAAACAGCAAAGAAGCCGAGCAGAAAGTGTTCAGGTTTAATCCTCCTCTAAAACTTAACGATGTAATAAATATGTCCCCAGAAAATCTGTCTGGTTAACAACGTTCTGATTCATTTCTTAGGAACTTGAAGGTGATTCTTGTAGATCTGAAAAGTTTCCACTAAAGAGAAATCCTCCAAACCACAGGTTTTGTTGTGAGGACATCAGAGGACGACAGCCTTCATGTGGTTCAGAGCCTGCACACAGACGTGACACCATAATCAGAGATTATATAACGTCAGCTATCGTTTCAGCGTCTCACTCCTCAGGGCTGTTTCCACTCGACCGTCCACTCTTCAAGGAAATCTGAGCCTGGAGATCAGATTCTACTGCTTCTGTTTCCTGGAGGAACATGAAGAAAAGTGACTGAGAAACGACCACTGAAAGGCAGCATCCAGTGTAGACTGTCTGGAGAAGGAGACGGTCTCCCACTTCAGTAGTCTACAGTGGTGTCAGTCTACAGCTCACCACACCAGGCAGCTTCACTTTTAGCAGTACTGCCACCTGCTGGTGCTATTTCCCCGTTTATTTTTGGGATAAAGAGAGAGAACGGGGGGGGGCGGTCGTCCTGGTTGTTAACGTGAAGCACTAAAACATGCACTGACTGTTAATCTGTTTGTGTCAGTGCTGCAGAAACAGCCGTTCAGGAGCAGCAGTTTGTAGAGTCTGACGACGAGGGACAAAGAATTTCACAGTCAAATATTATTGGGTGTCGTCCGTTTCTTATACAGGATCTACACATTCATCAAAACCATGTGTGTTCTCACAGGTGTGAGTGGTCGAGTGTGATGTCACCTCTGACCTTTACAGGTGTACACGTCCACCTGCTGGTGGCAGTCACGGCAGTGCACCGCGCAGCACCAGTGGAACTTGCACTCGCACTTGGTGGTCTGGCTGACCCGAGACGTGTCGTAGCCCCGGCCGCAGCACATCACCTCACAGCCGTCCACCCCACGGGACGTACGGTTACAGAGACGTCCGCCTGTGCCCACGGACCCTGGACGGTCAGAGACAGAAAGACACGACGTCACAGGAATCACAGAAGTCCTGGTTTACCTGGTCAATACATTGAGAAACGTGACAGTTGTTGGTAAGAATGTTGGGTTAGGTGACGGGTGAACTGGTTAACTGGTGACACTGGTGAACTGGTGATGGGTGAACTGGTGACGGGTGAACTGGTGAACTGGTGACTGGTGAACTGGTGAACTGGTGAACTGCTTGTTGTGGTGAAAACGTGGGTCAGTGGATCAGTGGGTTTTGAAGGAACCTTCAGTGTTGCTCAGTCCTATTTTGATGTTTTGTTTTGACCAACACTTTCACATTCAAACCCTGCTCTGTCTCCACCTGTCCTCTCTGACCCCGTTCCTGACCCTGTCCGTCCTGGTCTCTCCCAGTGAAGACCACCACAGGTCATCCCAGTGAAGATCTCAGCATCTTCATCCACCACAGGTCTCTCACAGCTCTCCTTTACCTCCCACTCCCCTCACTCCTGTTCTCCTCCTGACCTTCTGACCTTCATCTCCTTCATGTTCTAGATCTGTTTGTTCCCTTGTCCTTGTCAGTCAGTTGTCCACTGCCGTCGTCCTGTCTGTGGACCAGATGTTGACCCTCCAAAAAGGTCAAACAGTCTGGAGCCAGGATTTCCAAACGTTCTACTTGGACATTTTTTGATAACGGAGCCTCGACGGAGTCTGGACTCAGGAATGTGACTCGGCAGAATTTGAGCCAGCGTTGGTCCAATTGGAGTGGTTTTCATTGGCTGTGTGGAGCCAATGGCAGCGCAGCAGAGAACTGGCAGCGCACTTGAAGATGAGACGGGAGGCGATGGCCGGGTAAGATGATGAACGCTGAGACGATGGAGAGATGAGAGATTGATGAGAGGAGCCGTCAGCCTGTCGCACACACTCTTCATCAGCTCTTCATTTACAGAAGACCACGCACACACACACACACGCACACACACACACACACACTGGTGGTACAGTCTCAGTCAGACTCATCTTCAGTGTGCAGACGTCCAGACAGAAGGTTTTTTTTGTTTCCTCGTCAACAGAGTTAACAAACCTCCTTCATTAGTTTTTAAACAAACCCTTTTTTTAGGATTGTTATTCTGACGTTGGTCGTTGGTCGTTGGTCGTTGGTCGTTGGTTGAAAACTTCTTCTTATTTTAATTCTGAGTTGCTGAAGCCTGACCTTCTGTCGGTCTTTACCACAGATGCTGTGAAAAGTTCTGGTTCAGAGGCAGATGGCGCCCCCTGGATTCTCACATCTACTAACACTGAGCAGGTAGGTCAGGAGGTCAGGAGGTCAGGAGGTCAGGAGGTCAGCTCAGGTCGTCAGTCACAGCTGCAGGTGTGGCCGTCCTTATCTGACGAGAAGAGCTTGAGAGGACAGGGTCATGTGACGCCAAACGCAGTCCAGTAATTTAATGACCCGTGGATAAAACTGAGCCTGAAGTCAGAGACGAAGAAGAAGAAGAAATGAAGGTCAAACTGCTCACACACACACGCCACCGCGACACCTCGACACCTGGAGCTCCAGAAATACAGACCTTTAAAGACAACCAGTCAGTCTGTCTCTGACCTTGGTGGTCTGTCAGTCAGTCAGTCTGTGACCTTGGTGGTCTGTCAGTCAGTCTGTCAGTCTGTCAGTCAGTCCTGTTGACCTTCAGTCTCTGTCTCTGGATTATCTGGTTCTTTCCTTGCACAGACACGTTCTTCAGACTAATCTCACAGATTAAACCTGAATCTGAAACGTTTATTTATAAACAACAGAAGTCAAACCACAAAACCTCCACTTTCATCCACAGGTTTGACACTTATTTACTAATCAAACATTTCTACTGTCAGCTGAGTGTGTGTGTGTGTGTGTGTGTGTGTGTGTGTGTGACTTCCCTTATATAAATAAAGGTCTAAAATATGAAGCATGACTTCAAGTTCTATCTCAAACACTGGTCTGGAATTTGCTCCTGTTTACACTGTGTGTGTGTGTGTGTGTGTGTGTGTGTGTCTGTTCCCCCACCAGGTAATATGTCTGGGCATGACCTGAAGCCCCACCCCTCTCTGGCGGCGTGCCCGCCCGTCATCCACGGTACGCTGCGCTGCTCGGGGTGACATCACGGCCAGAGTCTTCCTCGCTCTCTCTCTCTCCCTGGCTTCGCGGTGGTGTCTCATTAAATTAAGAGGAGGCGGAGCTGATAGACGACTTTAGCACCTGAGCCTCACTGGGGCCACGGAAATGGATTTCACACTTTAAAGAGGCACCGAGGGGCCGACGGACACCCCTGAGACTGGAGGGGGGGGACGGGGGGGGTGTGTGACCTCACTCTGCTTACATGTACACACGTCATAAAACCTCCAGGTCTACTGGGGAGCCGGGCCCTCAGACCCAGAGGTCAAGAGGTCACAGAGCTGTGATCGTATCAGGGAAGAACCAATCAAAGAGAAGTCTTTGGTTCAACGCTGTCCTGTTCCTGACAGAATGATCTGGAACTTCAGACGTGGTGGAACAGTCCATCACTGATTGGTCAGTCAGGCCGTCGCTCTTATTAAAGGTTAATGAATGTGACTGTCTGGGGATCAATAAGAAACTCCAAGATGAACGTGTTGTATGACTCTAGCGCCCCCTTCAGTTTGCCTTCTTTAGCCAATGGTGCCCTAAGGACTGTGTGTGTGTGTGTGTGTGTGTGTGTCCAATGAGGTGATTTATTATGATGTGTGCTGCTCTAAGGTTTCAGCTACAGAACTGTGTAATGGCTCTTAAACTGGTCGACACCTGATCGCTACGGATCATCTGCTGCCTGGCAGGCACACACACACACACACACACACACTCACACACACACACACACTTTTTATCTTCTGTCACATGTTTTTTTTCTCTCCCTGCTATGAAGACTTTTACTTTGTCTCTCTCTCTCTCTCTAACCTTGTTTTATTCAGTCAGTCAATAATTGATGAATGAAATTCAAACATAAACTGAGTGTAAAAGTTGTCGTCCTGTCAACTCTCAGCAGATCAAAACATCTGTGAGGTCTGACGTCAGCAGCTCAGTCTGAAACTCAACTCAAAACTGTCCAACAACCTGAAGTCAAATCAGTCAAACAACTCCTTCAAAACCTGTGTGTGTGTGTGTGTGTTCAGGTCCTACCTGACTCGTGGTCTCTGATGCAGTAGTCCGGTGAGTCCTCCAGGTACACCAGGTCGTTCTTGCTGGGCCGTTTGAAGTGAGCGTGTGCGGCCGTGAACCCGGTGCCGTACTGGTTGACCGCCACCTGCACCGCTGCGTTGTAGCGTTTCCTCAGGTGGTCGCCGGTGCGTCTGAAGTCGGCCATGGCCAACCAGCAGGTGCGGACGCTGCACGACCCACTGACCCCGTGACATTTACACTCCAGGTTCATGAAGCGCTTCACTGCCTGCAGGAGCCAATCAGACGGAGTGTAAGAACAGCGTCCAGTCGCTCTCATCAAATACAAACAAACCAAAAACAGACCAAACTCCAAATGTGTTCAGAGAATTTGAAAACGTTATTTCACAACATACTCAGTCAAGACTTTTAGGACGGACGGACAGACGGACGGTCATGGTGAACGACCCTGACGTTCAGACTGACCTTCCTCCCAGCTCTGTTGTTGTGCAGGTTCATCAGTGCTCGTGCGTCTCTCTCCTTCCTCTCCTTGGCGTCTACGAACGTCTGGCTGAAACGCATGGCGTGCTCCACGTGGTCGCTGCAGCCGCCCCAGGCGAAGCTGCCCCTGGAGTCCCGCGACGAGCCCTTCTTACTGGGGTCGCAGGAGCAGGAGTCCAGCTCCCCCTGGCTGCAGGCTCGTGCCAGCGTGTACACCACACCCGCCGAGGAGACGGCGTAGACGAAGGCCACCTCTCTGCTGCCTGTGGTGGAAACAAACAAAACAAAAAGATCAACAAGTGGCCGTGGCGTTGACGTTCAACACAAAGGTGGGAAATGAACAATTAGACAAACTTTCATCTCCGAGCCTGTTATCAACCTGACCAGCTGATGGCACTAATCTTCACGACTACCTCTATGGTCTGTGTTTGTCGTCGTCTGCTGAAGGTTTTTACTTCATGCAGGTTCAGAAATCTAAAAAAATAAAAAATAAAAAAGAATCTTCTTCCCTGCAGGATGGATAAACATCAGATTCCCCAGCGGAGCCTGACAGGTGCCTTATCTCTGTCCTCCATGAAACACAGGCGAGATCTGAGATCAAAGGCTGGGTGTGTGTGTGTGTGTGTGTGTGAGAGAGAGAGAAAACACTGGACAACAAAGCCGTGACACACAGTGACTGAAGGAACGATAAAGAATCATCATTTTTTTTCAGAGACACATCTTGACTCATTTCTCATCTTTTTGTCTGATTTTCCACAGTTTGTCTTTGAGAAACCACTGAAACCACAAAGTCAGTGGTTCAAAGCCAACATCAAACCACTCAGTCTGTGACGATGAGGGCAATCAAGGTGACCTGAGAGTCATACCAGGACCAGAACCAGAACCAGGACCAGAACCAGGACCACAGATTCAGCTGAGAGTGAGTTTCTTCATGTTTAAATTTATGCCTAATAAAAAACAGTGAAATACAGACCACAGATTCAGCTGAGAGTGAGTTTAAATTTATGCCTAAAAAAATAATGTGAAATACAAAAAAAGACAGAATATTCTTTAGCTACTTGTTAACGATACTGAAGTAATTAGTTAGAAATTACAATTACAAAGCAATATTTTACTACTATAAATGTATGTGTACATATACTTATATATATGTATATAATAATAATATAATATAAAGAATTTTATGATTTTGAAATTATAACAGTAAATAGAACTGGGTTTGAACACTTCAAAAATGTGTCCCCATTAAATCTAAAGTGTCCAAATAGTTTGTTCTGATACCGATGTTTCAGGGAGAAACGACTGATACTGAGTCGCCCCAGGCTAACGAGACTAATGAGGGACAAAGACCAGAGGAGCTCTGTGTAATGGGCTGAAATTAGCCTCCTGACGTTGACAATAAGGAGCTTCAGACTGCGCCTCCATGTGCCGTGATAATGTTGTGTGACACGGCCGGGCCTGGGTGGGAGGTCTGAATACCACACGGCTGATTAGAGGCCCCAACATGAAACGGAATAAGTCAAAGGATCCGCCTCGCAGGTTAAATCTCAGGGCATGGGAGAGGAACATCAGGCCGCTGGGTTCAATAAAAAAAAAAAAACCTAAAAAAACTACGACTTGTTATAACAGGTCTTTTTCTGAGTTCTTTTAGCTGCTGAGACACCGGCACACTGTGACACCACCAATCTGTGGAGACACCACATCTGTCACTGTCAGCGTGGACGACTGTCCATAAAGCAGTGGCTGCACGTGTGCGTCTCCTCCTGTCCTCAGGACGGTCCATACATCACGTCTTCATGAGAGCCAGAATAAACACTGCTAAAACACCAACGACCGTCTTCAAAGTGGAGGGATTAGCTCCTACTTAGAGAGAGTCAATGTTTCTGCCTCTATTTTCCTCTACATGAGCTGAGAGCAGAGTCATTATCTCTGTGAGAGACGGTAGCTGAAGCCTGGGAGTCACACTGACGGAAACCAAAGCTGATCTTCACCGAGATGTTCCAGCAACATCAACTGAAACAAAGTCCCACAGACACAGGTGAGACAGACGGACAGACAGAGAGACAGACAGACAGAGAGACAGACAGAGAGACAGACAGACAGACAGACAGACAGACAGACAGATGGAGAGACAAATGCTGCTCTTGCCTCCAAAGTGATCAGAATTTGTGAAAGTGTAATTCTGACTCACTTCAACCCAGAAACCCGTGAAGGTCTCTGTAACTGAACACTGTCTAACACCAACGCCCCCCAGCACAGAGAGAGACTGACGGAGAAACCGACATGATAAATGTACAACTGTAAAGTGAGACTGGGTGTGGAATGTGATCCAACCTGAGAGAGAGAGAGAAACATAGTATCTGAGAGGGAACGTTTTGTTTCTCAGAAAGATTCTGTCTCGCGGTAAATTGACCGCACTTTAAAAAAAAAAAAAAAGAGAAGCTGATTGTTTGGATTTGTCAGCATTTTTTCAGGCATGTGGTTGAACATGTTTGTGGTTGTAAACAGATTGGTGTTCTGTAACCCTAACCCTCCACCCCCCCAACAGCAAACAATGACCTGGAAACACAAACCAACATATACAGTAGCCGACGATCAGTGGATCAGTGGAGCAGGCACCTGACAGCACCTACAGACACTTCACCTCAGTCAGTTCAGTCATTAGTGATAGTTCAGTGTTCTACAGTGAACTGACACCAGGCTCTGACCTGAGGTCAGCCTGAAAAACTCCATATGGAACTGAAGATGACAGAACACTCTGCAGCAGCAACTCAGTCAAATAAATCAACTCAAATGTTCTAGAGATAAATGAAATAAATCATCAGTACAAAATAACATGAACTGCATTTGTCATTTACTAAGGCTGAAATGTGTTGAAAGTTGAAATATATCTTAAATTATTATAGTCTCAGGTTTAAATATATACTAATGCTATATTATCATACAGTACTGCTATATTTCCCATGTGTCCTTGCAGCCAAGAAAAGGACAGATACGATAAATACAAAAGTCTACGTGTACTTTTCACTTTTGTCACAACATGAGGGTTTTTTCTTTCTCTGATTTTTTTAATTTCTATCATATTTTTTGTTTTTGTTTTCAGGACCAGAGAGAACCTCTTCGCCCCCCCCCCCCCCCCCCCCGACGACCTTCCCTCCACTCACTGCGTAGCAGCAGGCGTCCAAACAGGTTGTGGTCCCTGGTCATGGTGTTGCAGTTCCAGCGGTGGCTGTGGAACTGATGCTGGCACTCTGTGATCCAGTCCTTCATCCCGGCACCGATGGCCTGCATCACCTGAGGATGTTGGCGGCACAGCTGCCGCTGCTTGTTGACCAGACCAGGGATGTTGTCGCACATCACCTGTGAGCCCAGGGTGCCCATGTACCTGCAGAGCAGAAGGACACGTGGACGTGACGGTGAGCTGAGCTGAGGGTCGTTGGAGGAATGAAACTGAAATGTTATATTTTTCTCCTCTTCACATTTTGTTACATTCATATGTAAAATATATTGGGTTTTTTTTTTAAGTTTTTGTTTAAAAAAATGAAACCATCAATGTTTTACTTGACTTTAAATTTTTGATTTCAATGTTAAAAATATTTTTCATTGATTTCAGCTGCACCGTATTAATCTTATTATTATTAGTATCATTATTATTATTTTTTTTAATTTTAGAGAAGTTTTTGAGTTCAAGAAAAAGTGTCACGGTCACAGACTGGTCAGAAAAATGAAGATATTTACACTGATACACTGCCAGAAATAATAATTTAAAACCAATTTAAAAATATATTTCAATCCTTGTCATTACACATTTGTCTATGACATCATCTGTGCAGGTCGTATTTTAATAATAATATAATAAATGAGATGATTTCCACGTTGAGGATGAGAAGCAGAAACCACAGGACCTGGATTCTTGTTCTAAATAACTGATGACATACAGATTACTACTCACCACCAGGACGCGTCGACCTCGGCCATCAGCCAGCAGAAAGCTACAGAAAGATAAAAACATATTCCACTTGGCGATAAGTTCATATTAACCCGTCGTTGGTCCTTTATGAATCTGGACGGTGCATTTCCACGAAGTCAGAGAAAAACAGAAAACATGACAGGAAGGCAACAGGTGACGCGTTTCGGTTAAAAAAAAAAAAAAAAATCAAATGTGCACGGACTGATGTATCTGCAGCCCGTTAGTGGACGCGGGTCTGTGGATAACGGAAGCCATGGCTCCGCTGACGGACACCGCGCGGTGAGAGTGAGAGTCCGGGCAGATTCTCGGAGCAGAGAGGCAGACGATGTCCTGTCAGCTTTAAATTGCTTTTTTACACAAGGGGTGGGCAGAGCCCCGTCTCAGGAATGAGATGTCTGAGAGTATCTGTTCAGGCTGGTTTGACACCAGACCAGACTCTGGCCCGCGTCCAGAGCGCAGCTCCAACAACGACGCGTTCAAGGACGGAGGCAGCTGTAGGAGGACTCAGCCTCCACCCATCAGCCTCCACCCATCAGCCTCCACCCATCAGCCTCACCCCTGGAGCCACGGCAGTGCTAGCTTTTTTAGCCACGGCGGTGTTGGCTTTTTTTTTTTTTTTTACAAGTCCTTTAAGTTTTTATTAAAGACTTTAAAGGTGACTCATCAAAACTTCCCAGAATTCTTTGGTCCATCTGAAGATTATATTCCAAAACTCTTCTCTGGAAACTGATAAAAGAGACGATGAATGAGACAAATGTAGGGAGTTTTGGAAGTTGTAAAGATGTTTTGGATCCTCAGACACGCATAAAAATAATAATATTTTTCATTTAAATAGTGTTGGTGTACGTATAGTTTTTGGTCAGAATTCAGGCACACTTTAAAATATGCATTCAAAGGCATTATAATTTAGTGTATATATTAAACCTCTTAAACTATTATTTGGTCCATGGCCAGATGTACCAGCACCATCTGTTCCATTGACAGAAATAATCAACTGTTAACCAAACGTTTGAGGCTCCAGTATAGTCTACATGCTGATGTGTCCCTGGTTGTTCTGGTGACCATTATTCTCTGAAGGTAATGTGTCCAAACAGTTTGTCTTTTAACTGTCCTCTCCTCGCCCTTGAAGAACCTTTATCTCGTGTGTGATCTTGATGCTGTGCTGACGCGTCGTTCGGAGCCAAATGTTTCTGATCCCTAGAAGCTGACGTATTGACACCAAACCAACGTTAACGAAGCTTCTGTCCTTATAACGACGTAGAGATTCTCCCACTGCAGCACCTTAAGATGACGTGTCCGTTTCAATTGGATTATCTGTGGCAGTCCATTCTTCAGGTCAGTGGGGGGGGACGTGTAGCTCTGTCACAGGCTGTTTCCTCCATCTTTGATCTGGTCTCAGTGTATCTGGGCCTCGGCCGACCTGAGCAGATGAGATTAATGGGCAAATTGGATTTTTCCCGTGATCCCCGTGGAAGAGAAGCATAAAACAACAGGGAGATTTGGATTTAGTTCTCAGTCCATTGAACAGGACTCTGTGTTTCTGCTGCAGCGCAGGTTGTGATAAGTCCCAGATATAAATCCACTTTAATTGGAGTCATTTGTTTCCAGCTTCACCAAATCACATTAGGCCTCCACACTGCAGTCACCGCACGTCGTATGACTCCAGTCATGAATCCATCTGCTCGAGGCCTTCGTTTCCAAGGTATTAAGTCTGTGAAACATAAGAAACGAACTTTGAAGCACAGTGATATACGTGAGTGGACTTTACCTCCAGCTGAGCAGATCATGTAGAAACAGTCACTCGTCTCTGGGACTGGTCCATCTGGAACCAGGTCACAGACACTCAGTCCACACCGTTGTCAAAAACAGTTCTGTTTGTAAGTAATCTACATATGTGTAAAAAAAAAAGAATCACTTACGTTACTGTAATATTAAAAAGATGAGTCTCTTCATTAACAACTCCCCAAGTGTGGGATCAATAAAGTTCAAAATATTATTATTATTAGAATCAGGTGAATGAAAAAGATCTAAATAAAAACTAAACCACTGCTGAAAGGGTTGTAAAAAAAACAAAAACAACAACTTAATTTGGAGGTCACTAATTAAACTGCCTTTAAAGTTAAGTTTATTTCATAGGAAAAAAAAAATCACACTCCACCCTTGTCATTTTGCACAAATTTTTTTAAAGAACTAAAACTCAATCTTTAGATGAAACGTACAAAAATATGTTTCTCAAACTTTAACACTTTAACGTAAAGGCTTCAAAAATAACGGAGAAAAAAACATATGAACTGTTAGTTTAACATAAACAACATCCTGAGGTCCACTGTCCACTGTCCACTGTCCACTGTCGTCCATCTACATGAACACAGAAGCACGAGCAGAAAAAGCTTTGTAGAGAAACACCAGAGAGGTGGCTCCAGCCACACTGAGGGCCACTCTGCTCAGGGACCACTGCTGCTTCTTCTTGATGTGGATTTTAGGAACGTTACAGCAGCCTTCAGCCTTTTCCATCTGAGAAGGAAAAAGAAGAGAGAAAGAAAATCAGAGGAGAGATGATGGTCTGACCCAGGAACAGCTACACTGCCAGGAACTCATTTGATGAAAGTCATATTTCTAACTTACAAGCCCCCCCCCCCCCCCTGCCCCCCCCTCTCTTTTTGTTCTTTAAACTCTGTCTCCTCCAGGTCCAGCTAAACATCACACACTGAAGACAGAAGCAGAGTAGTCCAGCAGGTTCCTGGCTCTGGGGGAGTGAGGGATTTACGCCCTTCATGGTTGTCTAAACTCTCTTTCCTCTTGTTCCCACTCTTACAGACATGTTTTGGGTGACAGCAGACTTCCGTGTCTCAGGATGATTCCCAGCACCGGGGGGTAACGTTGTTCTGCTGACCAGGTGTCAGTGACTTCTTCAACCACACTTGACGACAGAACGACTGGAGGTTTGTTGTAGTAGTTACTGTAATTTAATCCAGTGTGGATTATGACGGGGTCACGATCAGAGGAAACGAGGCTCAGATCATGTTTGGTGGAAAACTGAACTGCAGAAATATGCATGTTGGCATTTTAGAACAAATTATACCCAGAATTGGACAAACTGGGGCAAAAAAGTGACATTTTGATTAATTTGTGGTTTCTCTTTTGAAAGTCATAGTGAAGTACAGTAGCATCGTTAGAACCAATTATACACCTGGGTCCAAATATTACAAATTACTACAAATTAATAATAATAATCTTCAATATACTTTAGACCATGTTTAACCAGGATATGAATACTGTAGATGTGGTTTCACTATTAAATCAGTTTGAAGAAAGAATAGAGGGGGAGGAAATATACATTTTCATTTGATTTTCATTTGATTTTCATTTGATTGTACTCCGTGGTGTCAGTTTAGCAGATGAGAAATTGAACAAAGTTGATCTGCCGTGTAGAAATATAAATCTGTCTTCATTAAAAACAGTGGCCGTGTAAATGTTTCTCTGTACATTAACCCAGCAGCTCCAGCAGCTCCAGCAGACACAGATCAGGTCTGAGTGGTTACTCCTGTCAGGACAGGAGAAGTGGTGCTTCCTAATGTCCTCAGTGGTCATCAAAACAAACCTGAACCCACACACACACACACACACACACACCCGTCCACAGCTAACACACCTCTTTTCCTCACCTCCTCACCCCGCCTCTACCAATCAACCCCCCCCGCCCCCCCGACCAACCCTGCACTTGCTGTCCTCTGCACCCACCCTCATCCACCCATCTGTCCCCTCATCCCTCCGCCTTGTTGTCTGTGTGCTGACAGCTTCATGTCACAGTGGTGCTGACTTATGGGCTGTGAGGATTCTGTCCTGTCAGGAATGACTCTCTCTCCTCTCGGAATACAAATGCAAACATGCACACGCTCTCTCACACACACACATGTGAGCACTCGTGCACATACCTGTTGGAGCTTGTCACAATCCCTACAGAACATCCTACACTCACACACACACTCACACACACACACACCTCAGTCACTGAGAGAACACTGATATTCTTTTCCTCACCCCTTCGTTCGACTTCAACCCTGTAAATGACACGATTAATAACACACACAAACTTTAACCCCGTTTTCAGTTACAGATGAATATGATCTTCATTAAAAACCATCTAATTCCTGGAATAATGTACCCAGGTGTGTATTTGGGTCTGTGTGTTGACCTGATACAGCAGACAGCGGAGGTTGGCCACTTCCTTCTGCAGGTCTTTAGCCTGGACCTCCAGCTTGTTGCACAAGGCCTGGGCTTCTTGGTCTGGGTCCAGTGAAAACACCAGCTGTTCAACAGCAGTGAACGGTGTAAGAACATTATGGAAACAACAGTCCATGTCAGAGAGAGACACGTGGAGAACCTGCTGGTCAGAGAGTACCTGAGAAGCTCTTTTAGGGAAGCGTTTGGTAAGGTCGTGAATTGCCTGGGTCAGAATGCACGTCTGCTGATGAATGCTAATCAGGAAATCTAGCAGCTCTGTGTTTCTGTTGGAAGATGGAACAACGAAGCAAACGACAGTGAGAGATTTATTATGTTGAAACCAAACCCAGCACTAGCTGGATGTACTTCATCAAAGTCTATATTTGTATTTAGGGAAACTAACGTTTTTTTTCCACTCAAGACAAACTAGACTATCGATCAATCAGTGCTGAAGTCATGTGGGCCCTAAAAGGCAGGGGGCAGTGTGGAGATGCCCAGCACAACAGACAGGGCAGACAGATTAATAGTCTGAACCAAATTTTGCTTTAACATTCTCCATGCATTATCTGTGGAGCACCACCACACCAATCACATAACTGAGCAGGTGGTCAAGCCCCCTCCCTCACCCCCCCTCCCCCACCTCACCCCCCCTCTGACTGACTGCACTGTCATCCCTCCCTGAAAACATCCACCTTAAATAATTAGTTATTTATATCCATCAGCTTCTCTGTCCCTCCGTCCCTGGCTCTGCTGGGATATTGATAGCTCTTATCTTAATGGTACATTTCCTTGGGTGAGGGGACTGGACAGCCAGCCGTCCCAGTCCTCCTCACACTCTGTCAGAGAGGCGTGTAAACACTGTCAGTCGCCCTGCGCTGCACCCTCACCTCCCGTCTCCCTGCTGTTAGTTTATCTAGGCAGCAGAGAGTGATGATGGGCCTCTGGTGGGAAGACTGTTAAGGAATTGCAAAATGTGAAAACGTTCTTTTTTTTTTTTAATGCTGTTTAGTGGAAGCATGTTGTAAACCTTCAGCTAACACAGTACACACACAGGCCTGCAGAGACCCAGAACACCTGAGGATTTTAATAAAAATAAAAACAATTTTATTATATGATTCATAAAAAACGGTTGTGGAAACGACATTGTTTTGTGCCTTGGAATATATACTGTATTTCTGGCACATTACTGCCACCTCTGTCCATCAGTAGAAGAGTTTGAATTACTTGACCACTAATCCAGAACAGAACAAAACAAACATATCTAGAAGTGACTGAGATCTTGAGAAAGATTTTGGATCAAATATTTGACAAATTTAAAGTTAGTTTCAGTGAACTGTGAACTGAACGGCGGTGACTTAACCTTCCTCCTGCTCTCAGTGGGACTGCCTCTCATCTGGCAGGTGAATGCCAGTGGAGCTGGTGAGCCCAGCTCTGTGGAGGATTTAATGAAGTGATGGGGTGCGATGGGACGACTCTGTTTAGCCCAGACCACGGTCTCTCCTTCGCTCAGTGCAACGTCCCATCGCCTCTCACCTTACAAATCATTACAGCTGCACTTATACTATTAGGCACTGACTCAGGTCTTGGCTGCACAGATGGGGAACGGGACATGGAGACAGGACAGTGAGGTGCTCATCAAGGTGATGGATGACCTTCAAAGGAGGAGGACAAACGGAGCATCGCATGGAGATGGAGGAGGACTAAATAGAAGCAGAGCTGTACGGTGTGTGTCTGACAAGTGTTTAAATTTTTACCACTACGGTCAACTTAGTTTCAGAGTGTTTGTGAATCATCCACTCCTACCATGACGTTTATATAACCATGTGCTGTGACCACTGGTCCGTTTAAATGTACAAAAAGTTGTTTTATTTCCTTTGACAGTTTGGTGAGGACACTGAGGAGTTAACGTTGTGTTCCTGTGGAAGCGTTGAAGATAATGTGGTTCTACTTACTCAACAGTGCGGGCCTGCAGGATGATTGTGCCCATGTCTATTTTGTTCAGCTGCATCTGTTGCACAGCATTCATCAGCTTGTGTTGATGTTCAGGGACTGTGATTCCAATCTGAAATATATTCACACCACGTAAAGATCAGACAAAAGGTAATGGTACTTCAAAATGTTTTATCTCTGCTATAAGCTGCATATTCTCATCCTTTTCAGGGTCATTTCAGAGGTCACCCAGATGTTACCATCATCATCCTCTACCTTCTCCAGGTCTTCCTTCTCCATGGTCAACAGGTCGGCCCAGGTGATGTCATTTTCCTGTGCATGGCAGAAACGTCACTCAGCAGCATGTACTGAACCCCAACACCTGAAACAGATGTACCTGCTGCGGGCTGTGCCTCACAACGACAAACTGCAGCGCTATATCTGATGGGCACAAAAACCTGGACTTCTCCTAAGCTGCATGTGAGCCAAGTAAGTCCATTAAATACTGAGTAAAATATGTAAACAAATCACCACCGTGACACATCACCCAAAATGTGGCTGTAACCCCTGTCTAAGTAACAAAAATCATGAACTTTAAAATGCTCAGTGCATAATGTCCCATGTCTGGTGTATTAAACATACACTTTAGCAGATAAACAGTAATCACCTTGAGGATGTCAGAGAGAAAACCAAGATCAAGTCCGTGCAGAAAAACGTCAATTCCGTCAAGCCTGGTGACACTAAAAAGAAACGCGTTATTTAGTTCCAAAAACTTGATGAATGAAACTCTAATCAGCCGCGTTGGACCAATGTGAGTCTGACAACAGTGTTTACAGCCATACAGGTTGTAATTCCCGGGGCCAGACATGCTCAGAGACAATGATTCTGACTGATGAGAATTGTCTTCTTCTGTGTCAGGACGGACTAAACATTCATGCAGAGGGTTTGTTATTGTTTATGTCTGCTTGAACACGGTTCAACAACACCTGCTGGACAGACATCAGTTCACAAAAAGGAAAGCATGCATCGAGTAAACAGGCAGCAGAGGAGCGCGGAGCAGCAGAGTGAGATGGATGTAGGAGATGTTATTGTGTTTATAAATAACAGATAAGAACCGTACCTCTCTTTGGAGGATGGAGAACCTGAGTTGGTTTGTAAGAACTCTGAGAGATTCTCCTCCATGGTGCTGGAGGATTGCATGAGAGAAATGTTGGAAGAAGAGTCCAATATCTTGGCGATCTGTGAAGAGACAGTTTTTCCAGATTTGTGTTCTTTTGTTTCATCACTGAAGAATATAATGTAACATAAATCTCCACAATAACATAAGGTTCTTTGTGCCAAAGTGCTGAGACTAAAGCTAAAGAAATTACTGGTACTTTTAGTATCAAACTTAAAAATTAACGCAGGTTCTAAAAGGTGTCATTAAAGTGAAGTGGGTAGGTAAAAAATTTTATCTGGGCACTTGGGCATGTTTGAAGGTCACTGCCAGGTCAGCGGGGGTTTTGCCAGCGTTGTTCTTTATGGATGTGTTGGCTCCCAGCTGCAGCAGCTTCAGGACTGCATTTTCTTTACCGTACCTCACTGCTATAGACAAAGCCTGACGGATAAGAACACAGTAGCTTTATTAACTTTTTGTTTTGTTATTAGTGACAAAAACACACATCACGTACACACGGCTAATTAAGGGAAATTATTCTGTCTACTATTTTATACATTAAATCATTATCATTACTATAAACCCAAACCCAGATCTATGGCAGAGACCGTGTGTCCGTTCTCCTCCTGGAGGTCGACGTCAGCTCCGTGGGAGAGCAGCAGGTTGATGATCTTACTGTATCCTTCCCTGGCTGCCAGCATCAGGCACGTCATTTGTGTTCTGTTGGTAGAAAGAATACGAGAATGTGGAGGAAATGTTGGGGCAAAACATGATTTCCAGACACAAAAAGTTATCACAGACGTACGCCAAGGCCACAAGAGGGCAGCAAATACCACATGACTGTCCTTCTAGACCTGCACCTAATGAATGCACATATAATTAGATTTCATTTCAATATAGGACATTTGATGGGAATAATCACATCCTACATTTTTTAGTTTAACTGTGGGCTTTAGTTTTAATGAAATTTTTTTTTAAGGCCAAGACTAAAAAAATACTATATTTAAACTAGAGAGAGAAACAAAAGACTTGATCCTATCATGGAGTCCTGATTTTCTACAGTCAACAGCCATGGTTTTTTCTGTCTGTGCAGCGGACCATTTACTCTCTCAGGACATGGTTCTCTCTCCAGACTGTTAGGGTTTCTTTCCAGATGTTTAGGATCTGAGCCTTTGTCTTATTGCTTACTTTTATTTTTATTTTTTTCTACAGACATGTGCAGTGAAGCATTGCGACAGAACTCGACCAAAACAAATTACCATTTGTTTGTCCTGCTTCTGTGAGCAGTGTGCTTGGTCAACATCAGTCTGAAGTGGATAAGGCTGCTTCTAATATGGTAGTACTTCAACTACTCTGCAGCGCCCCCTTTCTGTAGCCAGGTCTATTGTTAAGGCCTTGTGGACATGTTCGTGGCTTTTGCTTCAAAATGTCACTGAACTTTATTTCAAACACTGTAATTACAACAGAGCTGATCAACTTGATGAACAAAGGAACCAATTAGCACAAATCTCTGCAGATTCTCCACTCTGGAACAAAATTATTTAAATTAAAATATAGGTTTTTCTAGAGATTTTTAAGGACAGTGTGGTTGTGTGCCCCAAATACCAACTACTTCGACGTAAATTTAGCCAAAGTTACCTACATCTGCCAAGGTGACTTTCAAATATAACAAATAATTTCAAAAGTAACATTTCTCAAAGTCTCAACAAATTTCTGACCCCGGCCTAAACTTACTCTTTCTCTCACTTGGCAAGTTTTCACTACCACAGAATATCATGTCTTATCAACACTATCAACAATAGATGCACATTTAAAAAGAAAAGCTCATCATTTCAAAGAATTGGAAAAGTCATCATGTAATTAATCATCTCACTTTCACATCCTACATGTCACTTATACTACTGCCATGTGTTCACTTTGTCACTGGGAGATGAGATTTATTGAGGTCAACTGCATTAATCCTGTGAGTCAACCATGAAGTTGTTGACCTTTCAGGCAATAAACCTTTGTATCTTATCAGTGCCACCTGATGGAATCTGTGTGAAACTCCAGCAGAGTTTGAACACCGTATGAACAGTAAAAAAAAAACAACCACACAATTCTTTGACAAACTGAAAGAATTGTTGTGTGAACTGAACTCAGCGGCAAATGATTTTTAACACGTATGACAGTTTTTACACATATGGCAACACTTACACCTCAATCACTTCCTCTTTTCAGAAAGAAGAAAACACTGTGAGCTGTCACTTGTATCTCTTTATCTCTTTTCTGTGCTACTGTTTTTTCCCTTGGGAGTTAAAAAGTTCAGAGATAACGAGGTCACTCACAGTTTGTTGTTTCATTCCTTTGTCCTTCAAACTGTTCTGAAATATTTCCCCACAGATAGTTCATCAATACGCAGACAATCGGTAACGAGGCTGAGGGACAAACAGACAGTACCAACGGTAGAGTTTTGGAAGAACCTAAATGACTAAACGTGACAATTTTGCAAGATTACACACAATGTACCACAAATTTGTTCAATGTTGTTTGTTCTGAATATACCGTACAAAACTCTTCAGTATAGATACATCTACCGTTCCACCAAATGTAAATAGATTTATAAACATAGACTGATTTTTGTGATATCAGCTTATCATCTAAATGCTGCGGTTAAAAGATTTATGGCTGAAAACCACTAGAGTAAAGAGCTCGTCTTACGTTCTGCTGTTCATGAAACTCAACCCATAGTTGTACATCAACAACAACTAGCCACCGTGAGCTGCAAAATATAAGGTTGTGTCAGACAGGCACTTGCTGAAACAAGTGCGACGAAAAACACATTTGTTGATTATCTGTTGTGGCAACTCCTGAAGAAGGGACAGACTAAAAATATTCCAAAAATAAATAAACGGCTGTCAACACAAGCCAGAAACACGACCCATATCGTGCTTCTGCAAGATTTGTAGGTAGAAAAGTTTGTCTTCACTCAGACAGAAGAACAAGCAGCTGATCTTCATCAATGGTTTGATATCCAGACGTTTGTTCTCTGCACCCACTCAAATGCCATGTTCCTTGTTTTTTGGAATGTTGGTAACTTTTGGAATCCTCCTTCCCACCTCTTCTCCTGCATCCCATTATCTTCCCTTAAATATTTTGTCTGGGAAGTTGCTAATCAATTTTCTAAAGCTATGTGTGTCGTCAGTGGGTTTCTGTCAGCGTGTGCTGTGCATGTCATGGCGTGCTGGAAGTGACAAAGTAGCGGAGAATCAAAGCTAAATGAGAAAGCCACAGGGGGCTAGATCCTCACTTTGACACGACAATAATCCACAGATGGTGACAGAAATACCCCCCTTCGTTCTTTTCCACGAGAAGGAATTTTCCATGTTTCTCACCGGAGACAGAAAACAGATTGTACATGCGATCACTAAAGTGAATGTTAGATTTTAATCTTCCATCTGTCACGTGTGTTTATGAAAAGAAAACAGATGTAGATCATTTGGAAAAAGCTCCTTATGTTGATGTTCCCCTGCCACATATCAGTCATGTTGATGTGCTTCAACGTAGTAAGTTCATTGAGTGCTAAAAGAAAGGAATTTGAAGAAATATCATTGAGTGCTAAAAGAAAGGAATTTGGAGAAATAAGTTGAGTCCACCAACAACTAAGTTCCTACAGTTATGGGATCGTTAGCGTTAGTTATAACTACTGAAACTTTACAGCATCTCATTTAGCTTTTCTAGAACAAAGCTGCACATCCCATAATCCCATAATCACAAAAGCAACTCAACCTTAATATTTAGAAGAGATGCTCGGCTCGTGTCAGACCAGCCTCACTCTTTAAACTATAACTTTTGGGGTAAATTAGATCATTTGGAGAATTCATAATTTTGAGTCAAAATAACAACAGGTGTGTAACACACACATCTACCTGCTGTCATTTGTCTTTCTGTACCAGCAATATAAAAAATGTTGGTGTCATATTTTGGAATGTCTTTATATGAAGCATCTCTGTGGATTATCAGGTGTGGTGTTAGTGGAAGGAAAGATAACAGACTGTCCTTTAAACAGCTTTTAAAATACTGGCTGTTTTTTACCCTGTTGCACATTAGGAGCGACGATCCTTATGAAGCTGAAACAAAGAATGCAGAAAAACGAGTGAAACGTTTCTGTCCACCCCCCACGGTGTGTGTGGTTGTTTGTCCGTCTGATACTTGTCTGTACATGCAAATGCCATAACAGGACATTCCAAACAAAAAACACACAAATATACTCTGTATGGAGCATTGTGGTGCATAACTCTACCACATGGCAGCTAAACATAACGAGAACCATCAAAGGAAATGTGATCCAGCACTTCTGTTGTTTCTCCCTGTTTGATTCAGGTCTGGAGTCTCTCTACGTGGTCTGCACCGATATGGGTGTGACAGCACATTCAACAACATTAAGAATGTCATGGACACCTTGGCATGAAACCCGTCTGCACTACAGCCCGCACACCTGTTTGCCACGTTGGGATCAGCATTTCTGGACAACAGAAGCTCCATGCAGTGAGAGATTTTGTCTTCACTGGCAGATGCCGTGCAGCTGGCCATCAGCGCCGTCCAATTATCTGTTGATGAGAACACACAGAGGTAAATACTCTATCACACATTTATAGAAAAGTGCAGCTTCACACCAAAAGCTGAAAAAAAAGAGGCTTGAAAGACATTTTTGCATTAGAGAGAGAGGTAGACTCATGTCACAGTGTCGTATTTAAATTGAAAAAAATGCTATAAACAAAGTTAATGTTTTTTAAATATCTCTCAAAAAAGTATCTTGGTGCAGCGTACGTTCCTCATCTGAGCCAGTGAAATATTAGGACAGTGTAATTCAGCACCATGGCACGTCTTCAGGTGTTAACTTATTTTATTTTATCAAAACAGAACAAATCAGTCAGCCCTGCTCCTAACATCAGGAGGTGGAGGAATTAATATATGGTCAATTAACAACAACAAAATGAACCATAATGTGTTTAACAAATATTATAGAAAACCCAAGAAAAGGAAAGAGTTTTTTTTTTCTTCCATCCCAATGAAGTCATATGTGATGCTGTAATGGAGCAAAAAGAAAAAGTCCGGAAGAAAACCTGGTGTTGGAGATGCAGAGCTGTTTTATCTGGCATCAGGAAGTGTAGCGGTCTTTATGGGACAGAGTCACTTCAGAGGATTTATCTGCTGATCTAATCTGATAAAACCAGCCAGAGATGCATGGCAATGCTTTCAATTCCTGTTTTGTTCCGCCAAAGAGTCCGTCCCCAACTTGTGTGTATTACAGTGTGTATCTAAATTAATTGTATGTGTACAAGGGCACCTACAGCTGCATGTGGGTTACTGCGTCTTCCTGAAACTGCACCTCTGGCTTTATATCTGTGTGCAAGTGTGTTTACACAATGTGCATGCTGGTGTTTTCCTGCAAAGGACTGAGGTAAATAAATGTGAGGCCTGAGAATTGGCGAGTGTGACAACAAAATTGTGACCGTTATCAATCAATCATACATTCCTGTGCACGGCCTCACTGCCTGGACAAACGCCATCAGGACGTAACCACCACGTCATCCCCTGATTTAATTGCTTCCTTCACCTGCCTCAAGCGTCAGATGCCGACGCCATGTGAAATCAGTCTCTGCCTCAGACAGACACACACACACAGTGTAACACAACAATCTGGACTGCAAATTAATTGACATCAGATATCAACAGCAGGACTACAGCTGTAGCTCCAGACTGGAGATGGGAACGTCTACAGGTTACAGTAGGGTGACCTCCTTCTCCATCCTCATCCACCCGTACTCGCAAAACTCTTTAGTTATGCTTTACCACAAAAATGTCCCCACTCACTCAAATAGTTGCAGCTCACGTAAATCTAATCAAAGCACAACATCAAAAGGGAAAGCCTGCACAAATGTCTGGCAACTCTTTAAATTAGATTTTAATTTGAAACGGCATGAATGTGGATCTAAAGCAGTCAGAAAGTGTTTTTTTCTGAATCACAGTGCAGTTCTTCTTTAACCCAATTACTGATAAATGTTTTTAACATACGTAATGAGATAAATGTACCATATAAAGGTTTATTAAAGGAAAAAACAAACAGAAATTTGCAATAATGATCAGAGAAAAACTTGTTCTTGATTAAAATAAATGAATAACCAACCAAAACGTATGCACAGATGGTCACGATAAATGTCCTGTGACTATATTTATTTCAAATATGATTTTCCTCTAGAATCTGCTCAGATGTCCCATTTGGGAAGCCTGCAAAACAAACACAAGACATTTGTGCAGCAACAGTATCTGAGGGCAGACAAACATTTTGAGCAGGAGCAGAACAAGCTGGCACGCGAACAGGGGCTGGTTCAGAGAGGGGGGGGGCAGGGTTCTCAGGCAAAGAATTACAACATCGGATGCTGAAATGAAGAAATAATGCTCTCAAAATGAAAAGCTGTTTTCTTGGATAAAGATAGGATAGAAACTCCATACCAACGGGGGATTCCTAGTGGATATCCAAGGAGATTGACAACGCAGTGGTCTCCAAATAATGTTCTGCCAATGCAGCAGAAACAGACAGGAATGCAAAAAATGTCCTCAATGTTGAGTGGATCAATTCCACCGCTGCTGTTGACAGTTTTTAATCTAGGCAGATGTGCATACACTGTGGACAGTGACTGGTAGAACCTATAACTGTAGACTCGTGGCTTTTAA